AAATAATCATGAATGAGAAAGAGCCTCGGAAAGAACGCAATTAAATTGGTGTCTTGTTCATCGTTTTTGAGGAACGAATTGAAAAAGTAACAATTTTGAAACTAAAACTGAAGAAGAATTTATAAAATGCATCAACTTTGAGCTCATTACAATTAATTACATAAAATTTATTGCCAATCATCATAATACCTACATGTGTCTTTATTTTTTCTGTATACAGGCTGCGCCAGAACTCGCGCCCTAGAGAAAAATGCCATATAAGGCATATACTAGGAACATGGAAAAAATATTTAAAAAATTATCTATAAAAATTTCGAAGTTATGAGAGTTTAAATTTTGCACTTTGACTCTATTTATTTCTGTTGGAAAAATAATTTTTCAAGTTTTTTTGCTATAGGCTATTAAAAGAGGAAACAAGAAAACTGTATGCTAAATTGTAACTCTGTTCAATGTTATTTGTGGCTTTTATTGGCAAAATTTTTGTACTTTTACTAAATAATTTTTTAAACATTTTTTCCATGTTCCTGATATCTTACCTTACTTGAAAATTTTCTCTTGTAGCAAGAACCTCATTTTTGTTCACAACATTGTACTTACTTGCAGTCTGTTTCTATCGATATTATTATCATTGAATTCTGTCTTGAGACCTTAGGTAATGTTGTCTGTCCTTAGGTATTCAATTACAGCGCTTTCAAAGAGCAAACAGGCACACAAGATTCAAAAAAGTGAAAATCTCAATTTCAAAACATAACCATAATTTTTTAACGAAATTTCTAGGGACAAAAACAAAGAGCAAACAAAATTTGTGTCTATGGAGACAAGTTGCTACCAATTTTTTCACCAAAATTTTGACTTGGTAATTTCCACTTAAAGAAAAAACAGAATTTAGTTAATTTATTTTGACTCTACATGCAAAATTTAACATAAAGAATGTCTTCAAAAAAGTAAACTATTTTAAATAAATATTTATGTAATTTTAACGTTAGTACCTACATCAATTTATTATCTATTACATAGTTAAATAAGACAAATTTCTTATTTTTATTTTCTTACATAATTGGTCTGGAGTTTGTATTTTATTTTGGTTTTGAGTGTTTGTAAACAATATCTTTCAATGTGAAAACAATGAAACAGAGATTTTTAAATGTTTGCGTGTATTTTGAAGAATGAAATTCGGTTGCGTCCGTGGTGTTGTAAAAGCTCGTCTATCTAGCACATCCATCTATCTGTCGTAGTCTCAAGCTAGAGTTGTTCCACAAAGCAAACCAGCAAAGGCCGGAGGCAGTAATGTAGTCCTGGATCTGAGGTATTGATTGAGCTCGGGCGATGTCCATTCTCGCAACCGCGCGTCTAAATTATGCGTGAGCTGAGTATATGCGTGGCAGGCGCGTCAATCCGGCGGGGGGCAGCGGGGCCGAGGGAACAGCACTATGTCTTGGACGCGAGAGCCTGCAGGACTTTGATGTTCACTCTCTCTCCCTCGTCCTTCGGCCACCTGCCGCCCCTCCGCCCCCAAACTCCATGCATGATTGAGAGCGCGTATTGAAATTGAATTCGCAGCGCTGCTGCCGGACCGTCGCTTGATAAGCTCTGCGTGGGTCACATGTCTTTTGAAGTCTCTACTACACTCTCTCCTTTACAAATATTTATCTTCTTCTACTTGATTTAAATTGTTTGTGATGGACGGATGCATTAAGTTCCGACGACGGGGCCGAAGAGGGACCGGCGCATCCACCAAGATGTATCCACAATCTACGTACGTCGTCGACGAATTGACGCGTCATGCTGTCACGACGCGATCGCGACAAAATACTCAATCATTTTTACAAGAAGGGGAAACTTACCCGAGTTGAGAAACATGATTGAAGAGGGTACAAAGAAAGAAAAAATGTAAATAAAGTAATGAAATTGTCACAAGAGGACGTTCTTCAACTTTAACTGTAATATTAAGCTGTTGCAGCAACTGTTTAAAATATGCTGTTAATTGAACTTTAATCTTATTTGTCATATTACTGCAATTTTGGTTGACTAACATGTAAGCGTGTTCAAGGAGTAACGAGTTGACTAGAAAACCTTTGAAATTCGAAAAATCACTGAAACAACTTTCAATTAACTTTAAAAATGAATTACAACATAATTCGTTTAATTAAATTTGACCAAATTAATGATTTGTCACTAGAATTAAGTTAACAACATTTAATAATGGAGAGACAGAACAACCTAAACTTTCTTCTTTGTTTATGTTTTTCAATGTAGTCAGCTTAACTTCATTCAGAGGCTACTTTGATCAAAAATTCAGTTGAACGCAAGGTATTATTTTCTTAGTCATACTGGAGTTTTTGTTGAAACAATCATCTGTTTATTCATTTAAAAAATTCATGAAAAAATGTTATTTCATAAATAAAACTGAGTTATTGATTGCATTAACAAAAATTAAGTTATATTTTTTAATGTAATTTAGAATAAAATACAATCAAGTTTATTCCCCATTCATTGATGTTCTTTTTATTAATTAATGGTTATTAGTTGATAGTTAGTATACCTACATTTTTCTACTAAAAACAAAAACAAATTGTTATTATTAATTAATAAAATTTGAAATGCCTGAAATTTTATGTGTGTTAATTATCTCAACTACACTTACCGCCAAAACTAACGGGACACATAAAATTTTGCGATTTTTCTCATTGCAATGTTTTTCTTATTCATTGTCGGATTTTGACAAATTTTTGTTCCGCTTAAAGAATGAACTTTGCAGAATATTGTAATTTAATTCAATAACATTTCTAGTTTTGTCTTGTAGGTAAATGTTATACCTAAAAGACGATAGCACTGTTTTTTTACTTATTTTTATACTGAGCTATGATGTGCCACATAAACAAGCTCAAGTTTTTACTGATTTCAGATTATTGCCCATAGTTTCTGAATTATGTACCACATTTTCCATAATTTTAATTCTTGAGACATGAGAGATATAAACCTTCAAAAAAAGCATTACATTTCCAATTTCAATGAATATTCGTATTTAGTAGGCCAAATGTGCAAACACGTTAAAATAGGCGCATGGAAGCTTCCAATAATTAACCGTTTTACTTGTAATTTTTTGAAGTTTCAAGTTTTTCAGATTTTTGTGTTCAAAGACGTAATTGGGCTTATTTGGTGGGATATGCCATAATTTTCGGTTTAACTACCTTTTCATTTATTTAGCCTACTTTCTAAACAAATATTTAATAACATTAGAAAAGCAACGTCTTTTTCAATGCTTCGTATCTCTGAGGCACCAGAAGATAAAATTTTGAAACAAATATTCAGAAAAGAACGGGCAATAATTTGTAAGTAAAAACTTAATTTTGTCTCTGTTACACACTACAGCTCACTATAAAAAAGTAAAAAAACTGTGCTCTCGTCTTTTAAGTATAACGTTTACAAGATAAAACTAGAAATGTTATTAAATTAAATTACAATATTCTGCAAAGTTCATTCTTTAAGCCGAACAAAAATTTGTCAAAATCCGACAAAGAATAACAAAAATGTGAAAAATCACAAAATTTTAGGTGTCCGGTTAATTTTGGTTGCCAGAGTACATTCAACTAAATAGTTTTTTTAGCAAAATATTAAACACAGGAACTACTAACTAAACTAAACTTTACATTTGAGAGAATCTAAAATTGGATTGAAACTAAAATATAGCTTAAACTAGCTTCATAATGTGCTAGAGTTCACTAAATTTAATTAAATTTAAAAATATACACAAAATTGGTAGTAGAACAGCGCAGAAACCGAGAAAAAATATTGGTACAAGGTTCATTGCAATTATTTCTTTGTTAAGATAAAATTACATTGTTGCAACAAATAAGAAAATCGTATCCAGTACAATGAACAAGTGACTTCATAGTTAGTTAGTTTTATCGAAATTCAAGATCCTCTTTTTAACATTTCCAACAAAATCGTTTCCAGGTTTAATTTGTTTTTCCTAGATTTTTTCCAAATTTAAGGATATGGATCGCAAATATTAAAATAATAAAATCGTTGTCATGATTAATTCACGGTGGAACACTTAATGGCACTAAAATTGACACCAAAACGTGTAATAGAGAGACAGGCTAAGAAAGCATTATGACATTTTTGTAAAGTCATCGTCAGTTTCGTTCCAATTCTAACTTTCCTTTTAAGTAAATCGTATCGAAATAGGCAACCCATTCTGCACCCAATCGAAGTTAAAGTGGGGGTTGTTCCATACTGCTTATCTAGAATCCGATACTCCACAGTTGTTTTTTCCCAAGCCTCATAATGGAGTGATTAGAACAGCGACTATAAGTAACCACCACGCGCTACCACCTTACAAATTGAAAACAAAATCCTTTTTCCTTTCTCAAGATCGCGTTTTCGCGCAAATAAAGTCGGGATGTCAGAACATAATTCTAAAATAACTAGTAAATTAGATGTCTAAAGCACTAATTGTACCGTTTTCAGTTGACTTTGGCAGGTACCACGCAGTGTTAGGCTGCTGCTCGATGCCTGCTCACCCGGAAATTTACTTTTAATTCGATGTAATTTGTCAAAGTATACCTGTGGATCATTAATTAACGAGAAAATTTTGCGACATTGCGCAAAAAGCGACGCAACGGAAATTACTAAACTTTTTCTCGAACGAAATTTGTGAATTTTCGAGTAATTGGTGTTCAAGTGACGGCTGTTTTATTTTTCTTGGGCGAGGTGTGCACGCAACGACATATCAACGAGCGCCCTGGCAGCCTTCAGTGTTAGTCTGGTTGCGTGTTCGGTAATAAGTAGGCGCTTTTGGAATCTGAAACCCATACTAAATCCTCTTCACAATCAAACTCCAACAACCAAAAAAACATAAAACTCGATAAAAGTATTGATAAAGCGTTTAAAAAGTCACCAGTGACATCAGAACTGGAGGTAATGCAGTAGTTATAGCACTTGACATGTAAGTCTACTACTGTCACTGTTAATAATCTTGAAACAAGCGGGTGCATTAATTGATAAGATTATTTAATCGCCGATTAACATACGCACAGTGTTTTTTTCTGTAGTAGAAAAAATATTCCATGCAACTTGAGCACTCTCCTCTGCCTTATTTCTTGTTTTTTTCTTTTTTGAAATTGTGGCAAATAACTAGGAAAGTGCATCGAATCGTCAAACGTCATTCACCTGAAAAGCATTAACAATGCGGTGACATTTCTTTTATTCTCATTGCATGTGGGTGGGTCTACGACAATATAGAGGAAACGAACAATAACAAAATTCGGTCTTTGTGTCGGTATTTTGCGAAAAACACGTCAGCAATTGCAGCGAAAATTCAAAAAGGACATCCGAATCGTAAATCATTTTTATAAAACAATAAAATTTTTAATACCTCTTTCGTCTAGACTAATTTTGTTACACTCCAAGGTTGCAACTAATATTGAGATTAGTATAGTCTGGTTAAAAAATTATTTCAGGTTTTGTTCGATGAAGTGTACTGCAATTAAATTGTCAAGTCGAGAAGAACAAACAAGAGTCAAGAAATGGAAAGAAAACAACACTCTGGTATTTACAGGTGAAGAGGGTCACAGGTAATTTTTTTGGCTATCTAAAACCAAAATTTGGGTAAATTTGACTTTCAGCTACTCGTTTCCATTTTTTAAACAAAAAGGTTCAAAATCAAATACTTTGGCTATAAATAATTTGAATTTGCCTGCCAATATACAATCGTTTAATACAGGATCGTCTCTTGATAAGTGGTCTAAAAAACGTCCCCGGTTGAAGTCGGCCAAAATTTCAAAAAGTCCGACCGAAGATGATCGTGACTTTTGTTATGATACACTTGAAACTGATTTGTCTCTTCTTTTAAACGATTCAGATGATCCACCGAAATCTCCTGATGATTCGCTTAAGAATCTCCAATATGAAGTACATTCAGACATTGAAAAACTTCTTCAAGAAAGTCAAAGGAGTGCCCAAGAAGAAAAAGAAGACAAAACAAAAAAACGAAGAAAAAAGCGTGGGAAGAAAACTAAAGATAAAGTAATTAAATTTTCTAAACCTCCAAGTCCTCAAACAGAACAGGTGATACGAGTCGACGTGACGTCAAGTGTTTGTAATGAGGAGAAGTACCTTGGAGTAAAGAAAATGGAGGAAAATAATAATAAAGACGAAATCGTCGATCAAATGATCGATGATAAAAGGAAAGAATTGAAAAGAAATTTGGAGAAAAACAGTGAGGAAATGTGCGACGAGGATTTTATTGTGAGGTGTAAACAACTGGCTCTAAGACAAAGACGACGACGATTGTAACCTATTTTTTGTATCCACTGTACAATAAAAGTATTATTATTATTACAAATCGTATTTTTATTGTGTAATTGGGTCATTCTGTGAAAGTGGAACAAAAAAAGCGAGATAGAACGAAGCAATATTAGGGTGTAGCGCCCCACACGCGACGGTCCCAGTCCTGAAACTTCGATCCCGACCTCTCCCAACTCCCAATGAAGGTAAAGGATGAATCCCATTCATTTTTGTGTACAACTCGGCAAAAACTGGGTCCCAACAAAGTTCGCACTGTTACGTCAAATCCCCACCCTCGAAACTCTTCCAAACAATAAAATATGACCGTCTCGTGTTCTTCCATATTGTCAGCTTATCGAGACGTAATCTCGACGTTAAGAACTGTCAACGAAACCGACACGAAATTAATTATCGAGCTTTGGGATGTTCGAAAGTCATTTCGGGTTTTTGTTGTTTTGTTGATGACAACTACATGCACGGACGATGCTGAAATATGAGGCGAAAAAGATGCACGCAGGTGTGACGGTTATTCATTATGGCGATAAGGAGGAAAAATTGCTTTGCCGCACAAGTGGGGAAAATAAACAAATATCCAAGCAGCGAACTTTTACCACTGAAGATATTTTATCCTATTTACTTTGTTGTTATAAGTAAGTTTACGTACAAGGTGTAGATATAGTTTAAATTTTTTGTTTAATATTTTTTTAAAGGATAAAAAATAACAATATTTTCCAAAAAGAGAAGCAAAACTGTCTCCTTTCAGTATTTCTTAGACATTTTATTTACAATTATCTTAAATGGTGGGCTCACATGCTCAGAAGCGAATCAGTCTAAATCACAATTTTTCTCAAAATGATTTATGTGGTTCAGATGACACTGATGTATTATTAAATTATCGAGCAATGCACATAAGGCACTACTTTAAAGTGTTATCAATTCTCCTTCAATTAAGATTTCGATTTTCTCCTTTGTGAGCTTTTTTTATATGTTTTTTTAAATGCTTAACTACCTCATTTTTAACGTGATTTGACTTACACTGACTGGCTTCTGAAACCTCTAAATATCTATTTTATACGTATATCTCATAATAAGATACTCGACGTATGTTATGCAATCAGTTATAAGGTATTTTCTGTATTTCTATAATTTTTATTTTATATATTCTTTCACTGCAGACATTTTGTAATAAATGCAGTTCATACAATAAACGCTTAAGAAAAGTTGATTATAAAAAATAAAAAGATAGATAAAAAAGAAATTCAAAAAAACAATTTTTGTCTCATTTTGCATCATAGTCTAATAAATCCCCAGTCTACATCAAAAATGATTGTGTCAGAATGTTGGTTGTAGATTGGAAAATTGTACTCAGGAACTTGTAGAGAACACTAAAACAAACTTTTTGTACCTAGCTTGCAAGAAAGAGAGGTTAAGTTTCATTTCTTCCTCTGTATTATTCTTCTAGGTACGAAAATCTTCATCACCAAGTTATGATGTTTGTAAACACACTAACACACAGGATGGGTAAAACATAACATTCCTATTTTTGTTTGAAGGTTTCGGGTTTTATTTCCCAATCAAGTACCGACAACGAAACGTAATTACTAATTAGGTGCAAATTCTCCATCACAAAAAACTCACAATAGTTGAGAATAGGTAGGTACAAAGCGCATACACATTTTATTTAAAATTAGAATTATCTTAATGAATGAATGCAAAAGTGAATTAACCAGTTTTGCTATTATGAATTAATCTAAAGACTGAAATGATTGGCTTTTCACGTTATTATAATGGCCGACCACAAACGGGCCATTGCATTAAATTTTGGAATTAATTTAAAAGCAAAAGTGATTGGTTTTTTTACATTATTATAATGGTCGATTTTAAGAGGCCCAATCACAGAGCTTACAGTTTTTACAACAATCCTTATGGTAATTCATTAATAGTTTTTTAGAGAGGCCTAGCGAATATTTCGAAAATTATTTGAGATACAGAAATTCCGAGGGAACCATCTTATGGAAGGCTTATAAGCTTTAATTTTGTGCAAAACCATTTTTTTGGTAACACGTGCCGTTTTATTTTGTAAAAAGCAAAAAACGGAACATTCGTGGTGCCCTCGTAAGCACTGCTCTCCTCGTGAGACCGGGGTCTTTTATAGTATACTTATCCACTAACTAATCCAGTTCTAAAGTAAAAAATATTTTGCTATAACTTGTTCGTTGACTGAATTAATGTGGAAATCAAAAAAGATGTAAAAAAATGACATACCTATACCTACCTACATCACGTAGCTGAATTGACAGTACCTATTATGTGCACTCGTCAGGCAAAGAACAGACTTCTTTAGGAATTTTTACACTTCTGTGGTGATCAAGTACAACTTACAAAAAATTTAATTGAAAATAGCTTTCTCTAAAATTTTAGAAAAAAAAAGACTGAATAGATAAGTAATGCTTTATAATTTTCACAAACTTGAGAATAATATTTTTTATGAAGAGGACCATGTATTAATGCTTTAAAAACCTTATGAAATAAGCAAGTTTTAAGTGATTTTTTATTTAACAATAATTCATGTTATCGATGGTGAACTATAATAATAGTTTACTGGTGAAACCACTTGCTTTCAAGGATTCGATTTTCTTTAATTATGTTTTTAACTTCTAATGTTGTTACATTATTAATGAATAAACATTGAATTTAATAGTATATGAAGAGTTTTGATTTGATTCCTAAATGAACATCCATCTTTTTATTCTTTTTAAATGCATTTAGGTAAAGAAAAATGTGAAAACAAATGAATTATTATTTTTGTCACTTTAGTGTTGGTTCACAAAATTCCGTCAATGTTCATAAATGTTGTATAGAAAAAAATAGTTAACAATAGTTTTTTTTGGTTTCGAGAATACTGATAAAATTTTCTTATAATGTTGTTGCAAAGAATGTATTATTTTACGTGTAGAATAGTTCATTCTTAGCGTGTTGTGTGTTGGGGATTTTGTTATTAATCCCTCGGTGTTGCGCGTCACAAATCCTTCAAGAAACTCTGGGTCTTCTATTGGAGCGCAGCGGGTGCATCAGCTTGTCGGAAGTTGTGTCCCGGACCTAGGCCAACCCTTGCGCGGCCACAGTTCCTCAAGTTTACACTTTTACATATCAATAGCAGGAAGTTAGGTCGAAGCGCCCGCATCGGGACCCGACCCTGACTTAAGAAAGGGAAAGCGCCCGGATTCAAAGGATTCGAGAAAGGGTAAAGATCAGTCGGCAACCTGTTACGTAGAATCCGCCTCGACGCTCTCTTTCACTTCGGCGGCGGCGACGGCGGCTCTTGAGGACTCCTTAAATTGCTCGAAATTAATGGACGATTAAGTCGCATTCAGCGCGCGTCAAGATTAGCCTTTGAGGCCATTTGTCAGGCGAGCAAGGGGGCCTCCAGGTGGACATCGACGTGTAATTACGTCATAAATCCCTTCGAGGAGACTCGCGACTGCCGTCGTGTTGAGAAAGGTCGGGATTCCTTGACAACGACGAGAAATAAATACACTACAGCGGCAGATAAAGTGGTGGTTTGAGAACGTTCCAGTTTTGCCCCTCTTCATTTCATTCAGTCGCGGCGGCATTCATTGATAACGACGCGGCACGGCGACGACCCGCGAACCCGCACTAACGCTTTCACTTTTATTCTCATATAATATCCCTTCTGTTATCATTGTTGCCTTGTTTGATGGCAACGCATTTCACGTCCGTTGTGATCACTTCACTCCGGAATACTCCGGACTTCACAACCGGATTATTTCAAGCAACAATTGCCAATTGACTGTGCTACGCAGTACGTCAAAACTTAGGTTTATTGCATTACAAAGTCTCTGTTGGTCTTGTTTGCGTGTTTGAATAGGAAATTATAAGGGTCTAAGACAATAGTCAAAATCTTCATAACAAAAAGGAATGTGGACAATTTAGAAACTTAAACTTTAATTTTGTGTCAAGATTTTGGAATTCGTGTTTTTTTTTCTCGAGAAACTGTATCTGCAATGAAAATCGTACAAAAAAAGAATAGAATTTTATCAATTTTTAAATCCCACAAAAATCGTAAAAAGGGTCCTGTAGGTATACAGGGTCCCACGAGTAATAATGAGCCTGAAAAATTTTTTGAAAAAAATGTTGCCGAAGAGACCAAGAAGATTCTCATTTATAAAGGATGTTTGAAAAACACTTCACAGACTGCACGTTTCTATCCAGCGTGATATCCAAATAGACGGACTTCTTAAAACTGAAGTACTCATTTTGACTAAAAGAAATTTGTCAAAAATAAAAATACGATTACTATGTTTAACTAATTAAAACGAAATATTTTAATAGCCACGTTATCTATGAAATGTAATATTGATTGCTTCAAAAAAATTTTTAGGCTCATTATTACTCGTGGGACATCCTGTACAATTATACGTAATGTATACGTAATTCTTTGATCTTTCACGTGCTGCTCGGAAATCACTTAGAGCGCCCTGAAATCGACGACGCATTATGTGGAATCGTTGCGACATCCGATTATTGAAACTGTTTTGATTTATAAGAAATTGTTTTCAAGTTAGATTTTTTTTATAACCTCGATTGACTTCGGATTTTCGCCGCTCGATTGATAATCAAAAGCAGATTGTGAAGATTTTTTTCCGTAGGGCTTATCGAGAAAAACGTCTTTAAATTTTTGAAAAACCGGATTTTTTTAATTTTTTGGGCTGATTGAACTATACAGGGTTATTCACGAGAGGGTTATTTCTGAATTTTTTTTGCCGCAACCAACAATACCAATATCACTAACTGCTAAATTAAATATGTTATTTCTTTTATATTAGAAATCAAAGTAAGTTGGATAGATTTGCCAGAAATGTCAGATTGACAGATAACCTATATTTAATCAAAATTTAAAATAAATAAATTAACAAGTTAAGTTAATGTAAAAGGTGTTTGAAGTGTCTACCAACGGCTTCTAAACATTAGCCTATAGTCGGCTGGTAACAAAACGTGTCGCATCGTTTGAGACATGATTTTTTTGCTTTATTGTCA